TTGTAGATGGGATGCACGACTTTTTTTAAGATTATCTAGTCTACACCGTGGTGTTTGATAGTTATCGAGATTACGTAAATCACGATGGAGATCGTCTCTTCGTAAAGGAAGCAGATCACGAAGATAGTCTGGAACTAATCCGTTATGCATCTTATAAAATGTAGAAAGTTTAGCTTTCTCTCTTTTGGACTTTAAAGGTAACCATCCAGTTTCAAAGTACAGTGCTTCACAAGAGGCGACCGACGACAGACCAGACACAACCCTGGCTGCTTCTAATTGCACCCTCTCCAAGGCACCCGACAGTTCGACAGAACAACCATCCCAGACACAAGAAGAATATTCAAGAGTCGGTCTAATGAACGATATATATAAAGTATTCAATGTGTCCTTACTAACTTTGTATTCCAACTGTTTAAATGCTGAGACCTTATAAGAAGCTGTTTTAATAATTAGATGTATATGGTCATACCATTTGCAGTTCCCTCTCAGGGTAATCCCAAGATGACAATGAGAATGTGTGAAGGGAAGCGGTTCATTGCTATAAGTAAGGTTAGGTTTTATGTCAAGAGGATTAGATGAGAAAAGAATCACTTCCGTTTTGGCAGGATTAAACTGCATCAGCCACTTGTCAGAACAGTCCTGTAAACGTTGAATGTCGGGGTTTAGGTAAAGCTCAATTTCATTCAGGTCTGCAGAAGAATATTGAAGAGAAGAATCAACGGCAAATAGCCTAGTAAATGTTTTCATAGGATCAGCAAGATCATTAATATAGAACAAAAACAACAGCGGACCAAGAACCGATCCCTGTGGTACCCCAGCTGATGCATGTTTAAGAGAGGAAGTATTATTGCCATACATGACAGATTGTTGACGATAAGATAGATAGCTTGAGAACCAAGAGAGTAGGTTACCATCAATGCCATATTGACGAAGTTTAAATAGGAGTCCATCATGTCACACTTTATCGAATGCCTTGGAGAGGTCGCAAAATACAACAAAAGAATATTCTTTTCTGTCTATAGCAGAAACAATATTATGATATAACTCGATCAGTTGGTAAACTGTCGAATGACCTGGTATGAATCCAGATTGATATTTATAGAAAACATTGTTATCTCTTGCTAAATTGAAAACATGTTTAAAAACACACCTTTCCATTACTTTGGAAACACAACTTAATAAAGAAATAGGGCGATAATTAACCGGAAGGTGACGATCGCCTTTCTTAAAAAGGGGTAACACATGTGCTATTTTCCATTCTGTCGGAAAAGAATGCTCACGGATAGAGCGATTAAATAATAATGATAAAGGAATCGACAATGTTCTTTTTCAGTAACAATAATATCAGTTAAAGTATTGACACACTTGCTAAGAAAAGGGGGTAAATTTGCACCAGTAACATCAATGTTTGATATGGAAGAAAAGTGGTCATTAAGTACTTCGGCTTTTTCTTGGTCGTCGTATGCAACCTTATGATTACCATTCTCAAAATACTGAAGTGGAGGAAGCATTTTTTGCGGAGAAGACATAAAACTTTTAAGTATTTTCCAAAAGTAACGGGGATTAGCATTTCTTGATTCATCAACGTGTGACTCAAGATTACAGTAAAAACGTGCTTTGGCTTCCTTTTTCATATTATTTACGGTATTTCTGGCTTTCTGATAATTCTCCCAATCACTAGAATTAGTACTAGTAATTCTAACTAATTAATTGTATGCCAATTAACCCTGCTAAGCAAATTAATCATTTTATCAAAATCAGCTTTTTTATCATTCCAAACTTGCCTCTTATAGGCACACTTACAATTGTACGAAAAGGACATAGATAAATAGGTAGCTTTATGGTCGCTAATAGTGCTGTCAACCCCAAACACACCGCTAGTGAGACACTTAATATTATCAGAAACGAAAATAGGATCTAGTAGTGTCGCTGATGTAGTAGTAACACGGGTAGGTTCCAAAATAATATTTCTGAGGTCATACCTAAAGGCTATTGTTTAGAGTTTGGACGATTAAGGTAAACATTGAAATCACCAAGAAGAACTATATCATTAGTGTAGTCACACACTGATTCTATAGACCACTCTAAGTTACGATCAAAGTCATGTGAGGAATTAGGCGGTCTATAAAGTAGACCAAACAGAATACTTCTGCTATGAAAATGCATTTGAGTCCAGATACATTCGGCATTTGCAGGTTCAAAATCTGGCTTTCTGGTAGCTTTTATAGCATCAGAAAAATATATAAGTACACCACCACCACGGGCATTTCTATCTTTACGGAAGAATAGGGAGTAACCAGGAATAACTAAATGTTCGTCCAAAACTAGGTTATCGATGTGTGTTTCTGTAAAACACAAAATATCGAAGTCGGTAATGATATTGTCTAGATGACATAATTTGTTTCTAATACTTCTGATATTTAAGTGAAGAACACTGAGCAGGAACATGATAAGAATAAACTGTAAAAGTTAGATTCAATAAATACATTATTTATCGTTCTCCGTATTACTCTTATGGCAGGAAACAACTTGACATTTATCAAAATAGCAAGTAATATTAATATTGTAGTGATACCAAAAGAATTTTTTAATGAAGTAGTGGATAAATAACATCTACAGTGGAACAATCCGATCGAAGCCCTGTACAGTTCAACCCATAATCTATCAAATAACAAAGGTGTTCATGTACACGGCATCGACCGACGGGCAACCAGAACGGAACTGTAGATTGGTACGGGCAAGGGGGTCATTCAGGAAAAGAATGGGATTGAGGGAGGGGAAAATGTAAGGGGAGGAAAGAAATGGAAAGAAAGTATATAATACAAAATGTAGCAAAAAATGCATGATCATGTGATGTATGAAAATATACACTGATGAATAAGTGTGTTGGAATTGAACTGAAATATATACAAATATGCAGTGTCACCCGTCTTAACAGGTATATGATTAGAGACCATTGTGTAAAATGATAGTCAAATGATCAGATAATACAATAACGAATAGAAAGTAAAATAAAGGATTATCAATATATGTTTGGATCGTGTAGGTGATTTTCCGGACACAGACAGCTTCCATAATAAACTGATCCCTTTCCAGTACTTTCAACTTCCAAAATGTTCCTCACTTCTCGTGCCACGATTGCTTTCTCCTTATTCGTCCATCCGTACTTAGGTATACATTCCACATTACCGTTTGAATCCGGGAAGACCAGCGACACAAGCAATAATTAAGTATTTGAATATATTTCCTTATTATCTACATATATTTTAAAGACAGCTACTGATCACAGAGCTTACATAGAAATTGACAATATATGAGGCAGGTCACTGACAAGTCGGGTGACAATATAATTGAGCGAGACAAATTTGTATCAGAATGGCGTTTTGGGCAAAATTAATGAACTAAATGATGCATAGGTACAAATATGTGTGCATAAATGATATAATTATATCTTGTAAATAATGAAAGCAAAACAAGTCTATAGTCCCCTACCGGTGGTAGCAACCCCAGTCCTTCAGGCGATAATCAGAAACTAACCCAATCCCCCTCTACAAAACTCTAACCCCGGGGTGGGTTTTCCGGTAGGGGATTATTAGGATAAAAGATTGTCAATTAGGCGAACGGTACAAACATTTCATGAATGCTGCTAATGTAAATACAGACTGTTTCGAAGATAGGATTAACTTTTACCACTTTATAATTATGGAGTGGAATCAGACGCAGTGAAGTTTAATACCTAAGTGTCAGTATCGGAAGCTTTGTGTACTTTAGAAGCTTGGCAACACAATGTATAACTAAAACAAAAATTAGCGATATGACGTTCGATAAATAGATACATAGAACTATGTACTAATTATGGATATGTATGTCAGAGGAAAATCTTACTACAACAAATACATTATACTAGACGTAATAGAACGAAATGCCACATTTTACTTTTACACATATCCAGGGTAATGGTTTCTTTGTTACTGATCTACCATAAGATAAGTTTTAATAACCGGATATTAAATATTTATTCTCACTTCATTCTCCACACGCCTCTTCAATGTTTACTTATCACAAAGTCGCGTTTTAATATTTCATTCGTGATATCTAGCGACTTTTCAGTACGAAGGCCTTACCACGAGTTTTTAGTAGCCTGGGTTTCCGAATGTTTGATGTTGTTTTGAGGAGAAATCACGTGCTTTACTGAAAATTGTGACCTAAGTGTCACACAATTCTCGGAACAATAATTAAGCAATCTTTTCAAGATATTACAAATCACCAGAACGTGAAAAATAACGCAAGTCTGAATAAGTGCGTTCTCTAACTAACTGACCTCTTTACCGGTCATACTTCCGGTATAAACTAGCTTATATGACAGTCACTAAAACACGATCGATACATTTTGAAACAGATGATTTCCGGGCCTGTGTGACTTTCAGGAAATGACATCACGGTTGTAACTGACAATGTGTATATAGATATATATTTGTTGACGAAATGAATCAGTCCGGTTGTTTTTTTCTCAGAATTCGGCACTGTTATATGAGTGTAAATTTCAAAGTATGGAGGTGATATTCAATGGATATGCACATTGCAAAGTTTGAAAAGACGACTGTGAGTTCAGTACAATATAATTGGCAGACTCCAGACGTTCAGTTACAGGGATACCACAAGTAATTGTTGATAAACATTTTTGTTGACTGCCGATGATATCATTCCATCTTGTTTTGTTCTACTTCCGTCGAAGAATTCCAGACAGCGTCAGCGTTTCCGTCAGGGAAAATGAGATTGGTTTCAATCTTATAACAAAATATGTTGGATATTCTGACCTAATCAACATGTCTGTCGGTTTTTACACTTCTTTATAGCAACAGAATTTGTGAATACTATTCAAAAGAGCTTAGTGGAGTATCATCAACACTCAATGCGTATGAACTATATATTCAAGGTTTGCCTTGGCTGTATTCATTCAAAACCATTATCAGAAATCGTCCGGTATCAATCAAGTGACAATGTATGCTTCTGTGTTCAACAACAGTGCCAGCCACGAAGCAAAGCTGGAGAGACTAAACACCCAATTCGCTTTGTCTCTTATTGTGATTGATGTGGTTCTGGGATTTTACTTTTTATTTGGAGTTCTAGGAAACGCCATTGTTATATACATCTACAGTTTCCGTCTAAGAGTGAAACTAGACGACAAGTTTTTTATTCTTGTACTTGCTGTTATGGACGTCATTGTTTGTGTCACAGGTCCAACGTTCTGTCTTATGAGGAACATTTTCCCAGTCTACATGGATATGGACCTGGTCTGCAAGATGTCCTGGTTTTTCACACGTAACTTGAATGGAGCGTCTGGACTTTTAATCCTGGTGATTGGTCTTCAACGTTTCCTAAAAGTGTGTCGACCGTTTGGCCGACAGATGACGAAGAAGTACAAGATCATAGCTCTCATACTAACTATATGTGTCACCATCGTCATCCACACACCGTTGTTTATATTCTACGGAATAACGGAAGTTCCTTTTGTTGACAAAGGCATAACTGGGAGACGGTGTGGGCTTATTCACGGACATAGTGAAATGATTGATTTTTATGGGAAAGTATACTTGTATATTATGTTTGCAAGCGCACTATTGACAATGGTGGGGATATGCAGTTTATATACAGCAACTGGTAAAAAGATTTACGAGCATATAAAACGCCTAGAAGATATGCCTACAACACACCCTTCTTTTGATACTAATTCAACACACGACATAGCGATGAAGTCGGAAAATGATCCAGAATCTATACAAACGGCGCGGCGGAAATCGTCCAAGGACAACAACATCCGTGACCTAAATCGCCGAAGATCTACAACAGTTTCCGTTCGCTCCAAAAAGACGCCCTTTGCCGTACACAGATATTCCATCATGTTTCTGATCATATCTCTGTTGTGTGTACTGACCTATGTCCCTGCCCTGGCCATCAATTTGGCCGTGGATGTGGACTCCGTGGAATTCTGGACGGAATTTTCCGATACGGAGAGAAGAGTATACTTACTGGTGTTTCAGATGTATCTTTTAAACCATGTCGTTAACCCTATTGTTTACACTTGCTTTGATACAAAATTTCGGCTCAAGGTTAAGGAATTATTTTGTTAGCTATTAGTATCGGTGAGATATATTCACCCTAGACCACAAAACCTTTGCCATAAAAAACAATTGTAATATTATTACATAGCCAGTCAGGCATTTTTGTATAATAGCTATATTTGGCGCGTTTTTTTTCGATATATTTGGCTTTCCTTACAGTAAGTTCTTGTAGTACAAACAATGTATAATGTATGTTGTAATATTACAATCAGACTCGGTACCTTGTAGTACATACAATGTATAATGTATGTTGTAATATTACAATCAGACTCGGTACCTTGTAGTACATACAATGTATAATGTATGTTGTAATATTACAATCACACAGACTCGGTACCTTGTAGTACAAACAATGTATAATGTATGTTGTAATATTACAATCAGACTCGGTACCTTGTAGTACATACAATGTATAATGTATGTTGTAATATTACAATCAGACTCGGTACCTTGTAGTACAAACAATGTATAATGTATGTTGTAATATTACAATCAGACTCGCTACCTTGTAGAACAAACAATGTATAATGTATGTTGTAATATTGCAATCAGACTCGGTACCTTGTAGTACATACAATGTATAATGTATGTTGTAATATTACAATCAGACTCGGTACCTTGTAGTACAAACAATGTATAATGTATGTTGTAATATTACAATCAGACTCGGTACCTTGTAGTACAAACAATGTATAATGTATGTTGTAATATTACAATCAGACTCGGTACCTTGTAGAACAAACAATGTATAATGTATGTTGTAATATTACAATCAGACTCGGTACCTTGTAGTACATACAATGTATGATGTATGTTGTAATAGTACAATCAGACTCGGTACCTTGTAGTACATACAATGTATAATGTATGTTGTAATATTACAATCAGACTCGGTACCTTGTAGTACAAACAATGTATAATGTATGTTGTAATATTACAATCAGACTCGGTACCTTGTAGTACATACAATGTATAATGTATGTTGTAATATTACAATCAGACTCGGTACCTTGTAGTACAAACAATGTATAATGTATGTTGTAATATTACAATCAGACTCGGTACCTTGTAGTACATACAATGTATAATGTATGTTGTAATATTACAATCAGACTCGGTACCTTGTAGTACAAACAATGTATAATGTATGTTGTAATATTACAATCAGACTCGGTACCTTGTAGTACAAACAATGTATAATGTATGTTGTAATATTACAATCAGACTCGGTACCTTGTAGTACATACAATGTATAATGTATGTTGTAATATTACAATCACACAGACTCGGTACCTTGTAGTACATACAATGTATAATGTATGTTGTAATATTACAATCACACAGACTCGGTACCTTGTAGTACATACAATGTATAATGTATGTTGTAATATTACAATCAGACTCGGTACCTTGTAGTACATACAATGTATAATGTATGTTGTAATATTACAATCACACAGACTCGGTACCTTGTAGTACAAACAATGTATAATGTATGTTGTAATATTACAATCACACAGACTCGGTACCTTGTAGTACATACAATGTATAATGTATGTTGTAATATTACAATCACACAGACTCGGTACCTTGTAGTACAAACAATGTATAATGTATGTTGTAATATTACAATCAGACTCGGTACCTTGTAGTACAAACAATGTATAATGTATGTTGTAATATTACAATCAGACTCGGTACCTTGTAGTACAAACAATGTATAATGTATGTTGTAATATTACAATCAATGTATAATGTATGTTGTAATATTACAATCACACAGACTTGTAGTACAAACAATGTATAATGTATGTTGTAATATTACAATCAGACTCGGTAACTTGTAGTACAAACAATGTATAATGTATGTTGTAATATTACAATCAGACTCGGTACCTTGTAGTACAAACAATGTATAATGTATGTTGTAATATTACAATCAGACTCGGTACCTTGTAGTACATACAATGTATAATGTATGTTGTAATATTACAATCACACAGACTCGGTACCTTGTAGTACATAGAATGTATAATGTATGTTGTAATATTACAATCAGACTCGGTACCTTGTAGTACATACAATGTATAATGTATGTTGTAATATTACAATCAGACTCGGTACCTTGTAGTACAAACAATGTATAATGTATGTTGTAATATTACAATCAGACTCGGTACCTTGTAGTACAAACAATGTATAATGTATGTTGTAATATTACAATCAGACTCGGTACCTTGTAGTACATACAATGTATAATGTATGTTGTAATATTACAATCACACAGACTCGGTACCTTGTAGTACATACAATGTATAATGTATGTTGTAATATTACAATCAGACTCGGTACCTTGTAGTACATACAATGTATAATGTATGTTGTAATATTACAATCACACAGACTCGGTACCTTGTAGTACAAACAATGTATAATGTATGTTGTAATATTACAATAAGACTCGGTACCTTGTAGTACATACAATGTATAATATATGTTGTAATATTACAATCACACATACTCGGTACCTTGTAGTACATACAATGTATAATGTATGTTGTAATATTACAATCACACAGACTCGGTACCTTGTAGTACAAACAATGTATAATGTATGTTGTAATATTACAATCAGACTCGGTACCTTGTAGTACAAACAATGTATAATGTATGTTGTAATATTACAATCACACAGACTCGGTACCTTGTAGTACATACAATGTATAATGTATGTTGTAATATTACAATCACACAGACTCGGTACCTTGTAGTACAAACAATGTATAATGTATGTTGTAATATTACAATCACACAGACTCGGTACCTTGTAGTACATACAATGTATAATGTATGTTGTAATATTACAATCATGCCAAATTGCTATCATTCTATTCTTTTTTGTAGTATATAGATTACTTTGACTAGGGAAAAAATGCTACATGTTTTTTGATGATTTTTATTTTCCATATGAAAGTCATGATTTTTCTTCAATCTATCTTTTTTTCGCGACTTTATTCTAGTATCGAAAATAACTGCAAATAGAACCATAGATATAAAGATGTTTTTTTAAGACTACCTAAATATATCTTTCATATATCTGAGAAAGTTACCGTGGTTAGAGAAAAATAATCAAGGTGGGGATTTTGGCTATCGGGAAAAGGTAATAAGTTGCCAACACTGGGCAAGACTCGTGTTTGCGAACATAATCACCTTTCCCCTCGGGTTAATACCCTTCTATCTCACCTTCGACAAGGTTTATCAATCCACCGTGTCCCACTTTGTCAATTTCCAGGCCAACTGACAGAGAAGCCTTTCTATTTCTGATGATGATTGGGTTACTATGATAAACCTTGAACAAATTGTGTTTTATAAAACAACTGTTATCTAGCTGACACTATTGTATTAAAGTTCTAGTTTCTTAATGCAATCATGAAGTGTTTATTATATATCTGATAACTGTATCTACATGCCTTACTAAGAATTGATTCACATGCCGGTTTGTCCTGCTGTGTTTATGTCCTTGGGTAAGATATTCATGCAACGGGACTCCCTCATGTTGTTCAATGAGCCAGTAACCAGCAAACAAACTAGTGACTTATATGTTTTGATATTATCGACCTTTCAGTAAAGAATTAAGTATATAAAACTTTTCACGTGAGAATACGAATGGAAACCATTTTCACATCCACATCCCAAAATTTATAAGAATCGTATCTGCTGCTGACCATTGTCATTTCGTTACTATTGTTGTTAGATATAAAATCTTAGAATAAGTTTCCATTTTGTCATGCCGTTTTATAATCATGACGTAACGTCATTGTCCATATTCCGAAAATCGATATCTGACTATAACATAGGTGAATTCACTGGATAACAGGCAGATTATGTTGCAAATATAATTGTCATTATTTGTAACAATGAAATGACGGCGATTCTGAGCAATCTTCTCCCTACCATCATAAACCATTCTCATACCTTTGCATAGAATTTTACAATTCGAACACTACCTAATAGCAAAATTTCATCAGTGGAATAAAACATAGTATTTCAGGACCTGTGTGACCCCAGGTCATCAATTCCTAAACTTATCGGTTTCATCATTACGAAATTCTCACGAAATGTTATCAAAGCAGACGTCCAACATAACATTAAATGCTTCTTCAAGAAGATAAGTTATTGGATGTTTTGGATATTATTTGATGTTTTTGGACGTTTTCGATGTTTTCGATATTTGTGGATGTTTTGGATGTTTTTGTTGATGTTTTTGAATGTAATTGGATATTTTTGGATGTTATTGGATGTTTTTGGATGTAATTGGATGTTATTGAATATTTGGGGATATCTTTGATTTTATTGGGTTTTATTGGATGTTTTTGGATATTTTTGGGTGTTTTGGATGTTTTGGGATGTAACTTGATGATCTGGATGTTTGAACGTTTTTGGAGGTACCATAGCTCACATTGCTTCATGACTTCAACAGCACGGTAAGGTAACCTTGTGGTTATGTCTACCGGTTACTGTCTGTCTAATTTATTTTAACAAGATGCTGTTGCAAGAGCTAAACGTTAAAAATGTATAAAAGTATCATATTGTTATATGCTCCTATGGGACTTTTATCATCATCACCAACTGCCTTTAAATCAATTCTATCTATAGATATAATGAGACTGTACATGATTTGGACAAGTTCGAAGGAGTAAAATACACTCCTCATTTCGTAATACAGCATCTTAATACAGAAAAAAACTTGTTGTTGAAGGAACCCCCCCTTTTTGCATAATTGTTGTTTTCTTACTATATGACAGGGAATCCACAGGTTTAATTTGTAATAAAAAAAATCAAATAAGAAGATATTTATGACGTCATCGACTGTGTTATAGGTTACGAAATTTTACTTCGATTTTATTACAGTTATATGATTTTGACCTCTACAGATCTGGCGACCCTCTATGAAGTAGGAAAATTGATTTTTATTGATTATTTGTCCTTGAATATCATACGGTAGTAAG